ATCCATTGGGCCAGCAGGGCTTCAAACGTACATCGCTATCTACTTACAAGTAGGGACCTGCTTATCTGTGCTGAGACTTTCCATGTGGCCCACTCCCATCCGTCAGTGGCAGCGCTCCATGATCGAAGTAAGGGCGCGCCCGGATTTGAACCGAGGACCTGCTGATCTGCAGTCAGCCGCTCTACCACTGAGCTACACACCCTACAAAATCACCGTAATATAGCCAAATTAGTTATTTATCATTCGAGGATATCCGACTGAAGAGAATATTTCGAATCGATCGAATGCCTTGCAACCTCACTCAACAATACCCTACCCGAGGATCGAACTCGGAATCTCCACCTTAGGAGGGTGGCGCCTTATCCATTGGGCCAGCAGGGCTTCAAACGCACATCGCTATCTACTTACAAGTAGGGACCTGCTTATCTGTGCTGAGACTTTCATGTGGCCCACTCCCATCCGTCAGTGGCAGCGCTCCATGATCGAAGTAAGGGCGCGCCCGGATTTGAACCGAGGACCTGCTGATCTGCAGTCAGCCGCTCTACCACTGAGCTACACACCCTACAGAATCACCGTAATATAGCCAAATTAGTTATTTATCATTCGAGGATATCCGACTGAAGAGAATATTTCGAATCGATCGAATGCCTTGCAACCTCACTCAACAATACCCTACCCGAGGATCGAACTCGGAATCTCCACCTTAGGAGGGTGGCGCCTTATCCATTGGGCCAGCAGGGCTTCAAACGTACATCGCTATCTACTTAGAAATAGGGACCTGCTTATCTGTGATGGGTTTCCATGTGGCCCACTCCCATCCCTCAGTGGCAGCGCTCCACGATCGAAGTAAGAGCGCGCCCGGATTTGAACCGAGGACCTGCTGATTTGCAGTCAGCCTCTCTACCACTGAGCTACACACCCTACAAAATCACCGTAATATAGCCAAACTAGTTATTTATCATTCAAGGATATCCGACTGAAGAGAATGTTTCGAATCGATCGAATGCCTTGCAACCTCACTCAACAATACCCTACCCGAGGATCGAACTCGGAATCTCCACCTTAGGAGGGTGGCGCCTTATCCATTGGGCCAGCAGGGCTTCAAACGTACATCGCTATCTACTTACAAGTAGGGACCTGCTTATCTGTGCTGAGACTTTCATGTGGCCCACTCCCATCCGTCAGTGGCAGCGCTCCACGATCGAAGTAAGGGCGCGCCCGGATTTGAACCGAGGACCTGCTGATCTGCAGTCAGCCGCTCTACCACTGAGCTACACACCCTACACAATCACCGTAATATAGCCAAATTAGTTATTTATCATTCAAGGATATCCGACTGAAGAGAATATTTCGAATCGATCGAATGCCTTGCAACCTCACTCAACAATACCCTACCCGAGGATCGAACTCGGAATCTCCACCTTAGGAGGGTGGCGCCTTATCCATTGGGCCAGCAGGGCTTCAAACGCACATCGCTATCTACTTACAAGTAGGGACCTGCTTATCTGTGCTGAGACTTCCATGTGGCCCACTCCCATCCGTCAGTGGCAGCGCTCCATGATCGAAGTAAGGGCGCGCCCGGATTTGAACCGAGGACCTGCTGATCTGCAGTCAGCCGCTCTACCACTGAGCTACACACCCTACAGAATCACCGTAATATAGCCAAATTAGTTATTTATCATTCAAGGATATCCGACTGAAGAGAATATTTTGAATCGATCGAATGCCTTGCAACCTCACTCAACAATACCCTACCCGAGGATCGAACTCGGAATCTCCACCTTAGGAGGGTGGCGCCTTATCCATTGGGCCAGCAGGGCTTCAAACGCACATCGCCATCCACTTCGGAATAGGGACCTGCTTATCTGAGCATGGAACTTCCATGTAGCCCACACCCATCTCTCTGTAACAGCGCTCCGTGATTGAGGTAAGGGCGCGCCCGGATTTGAACCGAGGACCTGCTGATCTGCAGTCAGCCGCTCTACCACTGAGCTACACACCCTACAGAAGCCAGTTAATGTAGCCATTTAGTTATTTAACATTCAAGGGTATCCGACTGAAGAGAATATTTCGTATCGATCGAATGCCTTGCAACCACACTCAACCATCGCTATCCAATTCGAAATAGGGACCTGCTGAACTGTGCTGGGACTTCCATGTGGCCCACACCCATCCCTCTGTGACAGCGCTCCATGATTAAAGTAAGGGCGCGCCCGGATTTGAACCGAGGACCTGCTGATCTGCAGTCAACCGCTCTACCACTGAGCTACACACCCTGCAGAATCACCGTAATATAGCCAAATTAGTTATTTATCATTCAAGGATATCCGACTGAAGAGAATATTTTGAATCGATCGAATGCCTTGCAACCTCACTCAACAATACCCTACCCGAGGATCGAACTCGGAATCTCCACCTTAGGAGGGTGGCGCCTTATCCATTGGGCCAGCAGGGCTTCAAACGCACATCGCCATCCACTTCGGAATAGGGACCTGCTTATCTGAGCATGGAACTTCCATGTAGCCCACACCCATCTCTCTGTAACAGCGCTCCGTGATTGAGGTAAGGGCGCGCCCGGATTTGAATCGAGGGCCTGCTGATCTGCAGTTAGCCGCTCTACCACTGAGCTACACACCCCACAAAAGCCCTTTAATGTAGCCATTCAGTTATTTAACATTCAAAGATATCCGACTGAAGAGAATATTTCGAATCGATCGAATGCCTAGCAACCACACTCAACAATACCCTACCCGAGGATCGAACTCGGAATCTCCACCTTAGGAGGGTGGCGCCTTATCCATTGGGCCAGCAGGGCTTCAAACGCACATCGCTATCTACTTACAAGTAGGGACCTGCTTATCTGTGCTGAGACTTCCATGTGGCCCACTCCCATCCGTCAGTGGCAGCGCTCCATGATCGAAGTAAGGGCGCGCCCGGATTTGAACCGAGGACCTGCTGATCTGCAGTCAGCCGCTCTACCACTGAGCTACACACCCTACAGAATCACCGTAATATAGCCAAATTAGTTATTTATCATTCAAGGATATCCGACTGAAGAGAATATTTCGAATCGATCGAATGCCTTGCAACCTCACTCAACAATACCCTACCCGAGGATCGAACTCGGAATCTCCACTGGAGGGTGGCGCCTTATCCATTGGGCCAACAGGGCTTCAAACGCACATCGCTATCCACTTCGAAATAGGGACCTGCTTATCTGTGCTGGAGACTTTCCATGTGGCCCACTCCCATCCCTCAGTGGCAGCGCTCCGTGATCGAAGTAAGGGCGCGCCCGGATTTGAACCGAGGACCTGCTGATCTGCAGTCAGCCGCTCTACCACTGAGCTACACACCCTACAAAATCACCGTAATATAGCCAAATTAGTTATTTATCATTCAAGGGATATCCGACTGAAGAGAATATTTCGAATCGATCGAATGCCTTGCAACCTCACTCAACAATACCCTACCCGAGAATCGAACTCGGGATCTCCACCTTAGGAGGGTGGCGCCTTATCCATTGGGCCAGCAGGGCTTCAAATGCACATTGCTATCTACTTAGAAGTAGGGACCTGCTTATCTGTGCTGAGACTTCCATGTGGCCCACTCCCATCCGTCAGTGGCAGCGCTCCATGATCGAAGTAAGGGCGCGCCCGGATTTGAACCGAGGACCTGCTGATCTGCAGTCAGCCGCTCTACCACTGAGCTACACACCCTACAGAATCACCGTAATATGGCCAAATTAGTTATTTATCATTCAAGGATATCCGACTGAAGAGAATATTTTGAATCGATCGAATGCCTTGCAACCTCACTCAACAATACCCTACCCGAGGATCGAACTCGGAATCTCCGACCTTAGGAGGGTGGCGCCTTATCCATTGGGCCAGCAGGGCTTCAAACGTACATCGCTATCTACTTAGAAATAGGGACCTGCTTATCTGTGCTGGAGACTTCCATGTGGCCCACTCCCATCCCTCAGTGGCAGCGCTCCGTGATCGAAGTAAGGGCGCGCCCGGATTTGAACCGAGGACCTGCTGATCTGCAGTCAGCCGCTCTACCACTGAGCTACACACCCTACAGAATCACCGTAATATAGCCAAATTAGTTATTTATCATTCAAGGATATCCGACTGGAGAGAATATTTCGAATCGATCGAATGCCTTGCAACCTCACTCAACAATACCCTACCCGAGGATCGAACTCGGAATCTCCACCTTAGGAGGGTGGCGCCTTATCCATTGGGCCAGCAGGGCTTCAAACGCACATCGCTATCTACTTACAAGTAGGGACCTGCTTATCTGTGCTGGGTTTCCATGTGGCCCACTCCCATCCCTCAGTGGCAGCGCTCCATGATCGAAGTAAGGGCGCGCCCGGATTTGAACCGAGGACCTGCTGATCTGCAGTCAGCCGCTCTACCACTGAGCTACACACCCTACAGAATCACCGTAATATGGCCAAATTAGTTATTTATCATTCAAGGATATCCGACTGAAGAGAATATTTCGAATCGATCGAATGCCTTGCAACCACACTCAACCATCGCTATCTACTTCGAAATAGGGACCTGCTTATCTGTGCTGGGACTTCCATGTGGCCCACTCCCATCCCTCAGTGGCAGCGCTCCATGATCGAAGTAAGGGCGCGCCCGGATTTGAACCGAGGACCTGCTGATCTGTAGTCAGCCGCTCTACCACTGAGCTACACACCCTACACAATCACCGTAATATAGCCAAATTAGTTATTTATCATTCAAGGATATCCGACTGAAGAGAATATTTCGAATCGATCGAATGCCTTGCAACCTCACTCAACAATACCCTACCCGAGGATCGAACTCGGAATCTCCACCTTAGGAGAGTGGCGCCTTATCCTTTGGGCCAGCAGGGCTTCAAACGCACATCGCCATCCACTTCGGAATAGGGACCTGCTTATCTGTGCTGGAACTTCCATGTGGCCCACTCCCATCCCTCAGTGGCGGAGCGCCATGATCGAAGTAAGGGCGCGCCCGGATTTATACCGAGGCCCTGCTAATCTGCAGTCAGCCGCCCTACCGCTGAGCTACACACAAAACAGAAGAGCTGTAACGTAGCCCATCCGTTTACTCAACAACAAGCCAATAACCGATGCGCATTCCTCTGGCAGTGAATGATGTGACAGGGACCCCAAACGCTTGTCTCAACGTTGCGAACCTGCCTCATAGATCGCTCACTGGCGGATTACTCTGGCGTACCTCAATAGGAGAGAGGACTTCAGAGGCTTCGAGTCTAGTGAAGCTGATGTGAGTGCTACAATCGTCCAGGAGCATTTTCATGAGGTCAATTGGTTCTTTTTATCACTACCATTAACGCGGAAGCGAGAGTGCAACAGACAGTAAGCATCAAGTAGAGCATGCTATGGCGAATCTGGTAAACCTTCCGCAATATTATCAAAGATTATTAACGCACGACAACAATCACGGAAGATCCCGCGCGCCACTCCACCCCTCCGGCGCCTTCCTTATCATACCGGTCCATGTGCCTGAAAGTGCCATAGCGCGCATTCTTTGTGTGTTCGATTCGGCTTACCTCTTCAAGGACGCACTGGGGCCGTCCACATATCCTTCAGAGGCGAGAAGTTTCTCACTCACGCTAAGCATCGAGTATGCAATCTCCCACTCGCCGGCTTCATAGTTCCTGAATAGACGAGAGTCGCCGAGGAGGCCCACTGATGAGCCCTACCGGAAGCCCGTATCGAATTTATCGAAGAACTCTTTAGTGAAAACTTTCCGCATTTCAATAAGGTCCTCGTCGTGGTCGAACAAGTCAGCAACTCGGTATGTCGAGGCCAGCTTGTTAGCCTTGCGCGCAGCTCGCTCCTGCCGAGCCCGGGCCCTAGAAAGGTGTCCGAATCGTAAAATCGCTGATTTTAAATCAGCCGCGACTCGAACCTCACCGTTGAGCACTGGGCCCTCCGCGTCGGTCGGCGTTTGACTTCCGAGCTGAGGACAAGATCATGTGCCGATGCCGAACGCAATATCCTCTCTTACGTGTGCTCTCAACTATCGCGAGATCCTCGTAGACAATGTCGACGGTATAGAGGCCCATCTTAGCGCCGTTGATCATGACCCGGTCTATGATGCGGCAATGCCTGACGAGGGTGATGACGTGCTGACTGCGACTGTTGTGTTACTTGCGCATGTCCTCGTTGCAGGATTCGACCATCGGACCCGATAGGAGCATGCAGACCTGAAAGACGGCTCAGTCGTTTGAGTAGAAGACGTCACATCCTCTCGTTCGTGCGATCAACATACTGGAGAGTAAAGCTCGGCTTCTACAGGTGCAAAAACGGTATAGCGGTAGAAAGCGAGAAGACAGGTTCTAAGTATGAGACACGTCCCTATGCCTGGGTTCGAACTGAGCACCTATCGCTTAACGGTCAGCCGCTTATCCAGCTAGACTGAAAAGACTGTTTAGCCGCAAAAGAACTTACCCCATATTCTTTAGTAGCGCCTTCGAGCGAACCTGCTAAGTTCACGTTGGGCGACAGATAGCTGGCGTCGATCTTGAACTCTGAGCCGATGGCTCCTTCAATTGCCCAACCACAATGCATCCCAAATCCCATCCGGACCCTGAAGACCGATTATAGATAAGATGTTAATAAGAAACTAAATTGACTTTAATGATAGAAGACGTCATCAGATTGTCTGATACCATCACATACGATTTCCCTACTAGCGGCTTCCTTGGCTACGCCATCGCTAATTATGAGCCCACCTGTAGTTCTCAAGGCGCGCCTGCAGGCTAGGATGCTTTCTGTACTCGTACAGCACAGGACTCTTGTTAACTGCCGCGACGACCTGAGGAGGGAGCAGAGTCGTGCAAGGAAATGAATCCATTCGCACGAGACAATACCAAATCTTTCTGAAATTTGCCTGTTACCCGTTCCCATGAGAGCTCGGAGGTGCTCTCTTCCCTACCTTAACGAAGGACATAATAGCCATATCGCACATCTTCTTCCGCTGCTCGGGGTTGTCCTCGGGTAAACGCCAGACGAGCTGCAAGAGCGCCTCCACAGCTCAGAAGAGGGAACTGCTGCGAATTACCAGGAAAGCGTCTCCGATGTTCTTGTTAGCCGCTCCATGGAATTCATCGACAATCCCGTGGACAATCTGGCCGATCTAAGGTCGAAGCATGCTCTACTCGGAATGCCGCATCGATCAGCATCTTACTTGGTTAACAAACACCATCACCTTGTCATTCAGAACTTCAGTCGCGTCCGTGAAGTTACGTATGTCGCAGAAGCCGAAGACTGCCTCGACCTTACGCCCCGGTATCATAGCGTTCACGCCCCGCCGAACGCTCGGCACCCTGTAAGAATAACAATCGATCGCCCGCATCAACTGGCCATCATTCTCCTTTCTTTCTTCAACAGTGTAAGAAAAATCCGCACAGATTACCCTCATTAGGGACTGCTGCCGCCGAGAACATGATCAACAGTTTTTTCCGAATCAAGGAATCGTGATCGTCGAAAAAATCGATGAAGATAATACGCTCTGTACCTGCATATTTTTGCCGATGATTTCCGCGCCCGCCTCGCCGAAACCCAGGGCGAGAAGGCTGCCAATCTTGATGATGGTCTTCTCGAGCATGACAGTCTCGAGTGGCCTACAGGGAAGCAAAACTGCGATGCACCAACTCAGCTCCTGCTGCTCACTCGTGGCCGCCAACAGTTAATTGCGTCCTCTGGAACTGATAGAAAAACCAGAAAATTGCATTCCGAACGACGCGGCCTGTCCCTCACTGTGATGATATCCCAAAGTTTCGATAGACCAGTCCTCGCCTGCCGAGCCGCTTCCTTCGCTCGGGCTGTCTCTTCTCTCCTGAACTCCTCGTCACCTAACCCACAGGACGTTCAGCGACAAAGCCCACCCAGAGGTCTTACCCAGCATGGTAGCCATCAGAGGGTTGTCTCTGATTCGCGTCAACTTGACCATCATGCGCTCGATCGGACCCAAGACGAGCACCTAGAAAACGACACACCAGCAATTCGAGTGGCCGGTTGTACATGATACGACGGGTGAAAGCTTAGTAACACCTCCTAGCAACGTCATGATGCTTTTTATGAATACTATTTTAATTGTAATGCGCTGACGACCTCAAGGTTTTCAGGTCCTCAAGGGCCATCACACGCGCCAAGACCGTGCGCCGGAGATCTCACAATCGGCGATAGAGTTCGCCTCATAATAACGAGCTAGGGACCAGGCTATTACGCTACAGTATACTACCGAACCATATCAAGACGGTCGGTGCTAAGCAAGCCAGCAGATTCGTGGATATTCTGAGCAGCTCACGTTAGCATCTCTCGCGAAGAACAGAGCGCCAACGCCAAGGACGAGGCATATGAATAAAGTCTGGCACATGTTCAGGACCGCCGCCCAATACGCCTTCAGTCGATCGTCCATAACCAACTGAAAGGGAGGACATACTGAGGCGGTGCAGAGCTACAGGAGTTACGATAAAGTAGGTATTGAAGTTGTCAGGATCTGTCTCCTTGCGGAGTAGCGGCAGAACTGCAGTGCGCTCGTTGAAGCGAAGATCACTTGGGCAGTCTATGTCCGACACTAGGGATGTTCCTCGCACCTGACATGAGATTACTATTCTGATGGGAAAACAGGAAAATCACTAGTCGGGTAACTGTCATCCAACGACTCGACCCGTGCAGTTCGAAATGGGAGAATTTGGGATGCGACCGAAAGATAGTGGGTATTGATGAAATAGTCGGAGCAAGCATCAGGTATACCGACCAAGGACGGGCTAGACGCCACTGGCTGCGGTGACGAATTTCACCCCATCATGCATTCAAGAAATTCCTGTTCAGTCTTTTTTTGCGAACTTCTCGTTTCTCTCGCTTTCAATGTTGTCCATATCGAAAATGTCACTTCCCCATCATGGCGAGCATGTAGAATCTGGTTCTCTTAATAATGTTATGAAACTCTCACCCCGTCCGGGACCGCCGGGTCGCCTGCACAAGAGGTCCACGGTTTGATGATTCGCTCCACGGCCAAGTCGCCCAAGTCGCCCGAGTACACCAAAAAGTCATCACCATTAAAGGTGTCATCAAACCTGCGAAAAGAACAACATATCAATCGAGCGTGGGCGGCGGCGATCGGGCCCACTCCAGACGAATGTCGCGCGCCGTAATATTATCAAGGTGAGGGATGCGTCCAGCAGGGGTCGGTTCCTTCAGTATAGTATCTGCCATGAAGAAGACTCTGCCATCTTACATCGAGTCTTTACACTCACCCAATCCATGCCAGGTGGCTCACGTAAGAAGACACGCACACAGTGTTGCCGCCCGGACCTGACGAGGCAGGTCTAAGCTGAGCGCTCGAGGCGTTTTGTCACGTACATTCCGTTTCTCGAGACTCCCAATTGTGCGCATAGAGGAAATGGAAGAGTTTGTTGGTGTATCTGAAGGGATGCGGAGGTGGGAGGAGGGGTGATGATGAAGCTGAAGGGTCCTTTACAGTGAGCGTCGGGCAAGGGTCTCCACGCTTTGCTGTCCGCTGGCGAGACACTCCTGGACGTATCTGCGTGGACGAAGGGAGGTGGTAGGATTACTGACGATGTGGTTGAAAAGATCTAGGAATTTCAGAAAACTAATAGCAGAAAAAATTCTGATTACTGAGAATCAATTTATCGAGCAGCTCCATTAGCATTCCCACAAAATAAAACATTCTGATTACGAAATAGTAAGTTAGGGAGGAGAGTGATGAGTGAAACCATCCATCAGGACCACCTCAGTGTCTCGAACCTGGGACTCTTCGAAGTGAAACATACATCGGCTCTACTACGCTAAACTGCCCACGATAAATACGCTACGCACAGGCCAAGTACTGTGAGACCTACTCTATATAAGAAGTGTACATCGAGTCCACGCCGTACTGTGCCGACTGAGGGACGATGTCCGAGATGGTGAAGACCGGAATCATGAAGAGCATGAGGAGTATCAGTATCTGACAACAGTCGAAAGTCAAACAAGTATAGCCAAACAACGATTCGACAGTCGAAACTCCGGAAGGCGAGTAAG